TCCAAAGAATTTCATAGTTATATTTTTCTGGTCAAACTTTAAGCAGTTCCCACTAAAAATGATGCATTCCATTGAAAAGTTTGCGCAAGCTGCAGATGAAAATTTTCATAACCCATAACCTCTTGACGAAAAAGGGCTGAAAAAGAGAAACACACGATTACACGGACAGGCTTTAAAGGGCACTGACTGACGGGTCTGTTTGTGGAGCCCAATAGCCATAGCAATCCATATAATTAAATGCATCATCAGCCTGGTCGACTGATTTATTAACATGCATGAAACGAGGAATGGGAAACGGGGAAACGATGGAGTGGCAAGGCGCTGATGGACAAATTACAAAACGCAACAAATGAACAAACAAAATGACGATAAACCGAAAAAAAAGAAACAATAATACTCGTAGATATTGAAATGCATATTTCCACATTCGTTTGTTTGACCGATGGATGGACAGAGAGGCGCGTTTCATTTTTAAACTCTTCAGTTCGGATTTCCGAAAATGTCGCTGTCAAAAATGAAATAGATAATAGGCAGGCCATGCTTTGAAATCCACTTTTCATTATGCATGAAATTGATTTCTTTGAATTTCCAAATCAGCCACTGGCCACCGTTGATAAGCGGAGTCATTAATGATTTATAGTTGCCAAATCAACGGACAACAGGCGGTCAAATAAACGCGATAAATAGCATTAGCATCAGTTGGAGTAGGAAGGAAGAAATAGCGTCGAGTTTAATTGAAATGCTAAAAGCGTGGAAGGTTCTAGCCCAGCCGGACCTGCAGACACGCAACGTCGGAAAGCAGGCGATAAAAAGTCAATAAAACCAGTTAAGGTCAGCCCCAAAGCTTGTGTAATCAACATGTTTGCTGTGGCTGCTGCTGCCGCTAAAGCTGATGCAGATGCTAAATGAATTTGTATACCCTACTTGGTACGAGCTATTAATATTTTGACGAGATGTTTGTCAGGCAGAGAATGAAACACTTTCCGATGTCCCTTGGCTAAATCTTTTGCATAGATCAAATTTCTTTGATCAAAGAACAAGTCTTGCAAGTCAAACAGTGGCTCTACAAGGGTATCTCATGCTTCGGTAAACTCATTTATGTTACTTATGAATAATCTGATGTGCTGACGATGCTGCCGCTGTGGCTGGCCGCTTGATGCTCGATGCTGATCACGTTGCCACTGCGCCACAATAAAAATAATAAAGTCTCAAGTGTCGTCGCCACCGTCAGCCAACGCCAGCAGCCAGCAGCCATCGGCGCTTGGTAGTCAGTGTGGCAGTGTGTCAGTGGCCGCTCTCAAGTGCCCCCGGGGGCAACCGGTTGCGCATCCTTGACATAAAAACCGATCTCACACGCCAGCTTACATCTTTGATTTGCCATCGAGTTGAAAATTTATACAAAATTGCGTATACGCACGCATTGGTGAAGCGGACAAAAGGGCGCGGTGCGGAATGGCATCTTTATCGCTCAATAATCGTGTACAAATTTATGTTAATGACAACGTGTCAACAATTAACATATCCGTAGCTGTAGCCCGTATCTCCATCTTTAACTGTACGAAAAACTTGCCAAATCCGACAAATGAATGGCTTGTCTTGCCATATTTCACTTTGACTTATTTACAAACGTTTTAATCACGCTTTTTCAACCTATTCTTCTTTTTGGTATTTGCAGATGAAAGTCACTTTGGCGTTAGCGACTTTCTGCGTGGTGGCGGCCTGCGGCAATGCGGCCAGAACCACCACAACAACGACAGCGACCAAGCCGGGTCGCTTCCTCTCACTGCCCGTGCCCGCCAAGTGCGCCAGCCGTAAGTATCCCAAAATAGATTCAAAGTTTAGATATAAATGGGACTCAAAAATGCATTGGGCGAAAAGTAAAAGTGCGGGGAACGTGTTGAGAATGTTAAGCACATGGCAGTTGTCTCATCGTTTTCCAAGTTTGCACTTGAAATCGTTGGGCAATGCGACGTGTGGGTGTAGCCACAGCACCACAGCAGTGGTGCGGGGGCTGGCCTGAAGGTCGCTGACGTGTTTTGTTACCATTTGGTTTAATAGTTTTTACACACTTTCTTTGCCTGCCATTTTTTGTTAAATAAATAAATTCCACAAAGCTTGTTTCGGTGTGAGCTCTGACGTGAGCTCTAGTTCAACGGGAGCGGGTCCGTCCTACACGCAGAACCAGTTGCGGGCTATTTCTTCATCAATTGCATATATTTTCGAAAGAGAACTTGTTATATTTTATTACTCCATTTGGCACCATAAAAACTATCAAGAACTGAAAAAACTAGATCCTTGCATAGTTGGAAACACTCTTACTTCCAGTGCAAGAGCTGCCGCTGGCTGTCTCTCACGTACCCGTACCCTGCACGTAATTGGTGCTGCCAGTCATCGCTTGAGATTGCAAAAATTGCATCAGGGTTCAGGCAAAACGCTTAAACAATAGCATCATCATCACTGCATATCCGGTACACTAATGAACACTTTGCAGTTATTGCTAATTAGACAAACCCTAATACACGCTCATTCACACAGCAAAATATATACATACATACATTCATACGTGTACGAGTATGTGAGCATATACAGGTCGAGCAGTTAAACATGCAACTTAATTTTGGGGCGTCACAAAGTTGCATTTCCAGTTTTGTTGTTCAAGCTGTTGCTCCGACGCTGCTGCGATTTAGATCTTTCATCTTTTTTTTTTTTTAGAAATTTCCAGTTATGCAGGCGCAAGTTTTTTAGGTCTCAAATAGTTAAATCAACTGATTAACTATTCAAAACTTAATTGCCTTTTGTAGACGAACAACAATAGCACTCTCCCAGGCATGCATTCGCTTCATCATTAACATTCGAAAACGGTCTTTTTCTGGTTTTTCTAAATCATATTCGACAAGGGGCAATCGTATTTCTAGGCGCTTGGTTTGTCTGAGCCATATTCGAGTGAGACGAGGGGGTTTTCTGTGGAAATTAACAGCTCATTTACAGATGCCAATCGCAAAAAACTACTACCTGATTATTATGCAAGTTTTTTTTTCCAAGTTAGGAAAATATGAGTACTTATACTACAGCCAAAGAAAGTGAGGCATTGAGCATTGAATGTTGTGTACTTTTTGTTTATTGCCTTGACCTGGGTGCCACACGACACCACAAAAGAGCCTGGAAATGTGTGATGGGGAAATTGGAAGCGGCAGCTTAAATAAATAATAATGTGCAAACAATGGCAAATAAGGCCATTATGCGGAGACTTAAGCTGATTTGACGTGAAGTCAGAGGCTGGAAATTGCAAAAGTGACGGCTGCAACGGCGCCGCTGTAAAAGCGGCTTAAAGAGCGCGGCTAATGACGCGTGCCAGCAGCAGTGGAAACAGGCAACGGGCTAGAGGAAGGGGGGCTTGGGGCGTGGCATATCGCACATATGTACATATAGCTAATCAAATGGAAGCTGGCGAAGAGGTGCAGTAGCCAAACGGAGGCAGCGAAGTGAAACAAGTTCGAGAAAGAGCAGCAGAAGCAGGAGGAACTGACGACTGGTGGCACAATGGCCTCACAGATGTGCCACCAGATGAACCACCACCACGACTGGGTTGTAGGAAGCGCGGGGGCCTCGCCTCCCATTGTTGTTCCCCGTAGACAAACAAAGGCACACAAAACCTTTTGCGAGGCACAAAACAGAGGCAGACAGTTAGCTCCAGCTCTCGGTGTGGCAGCAGCAGCAGCAGTAGCAGCGCAAAAAAAGAAGCATGCTGCATAAATTGCGAAGATTGCGTAACCCCTCGAGGCTTCGAGTGGGGAAGTTGTGTAAGCCCCATGGCGTTTTTGCCTTTTCGCCAATGGATGGGGCAGTGGAGGTACAGGTACAAGTCCATTGCATTGGGATTCGCATTGAAAAATTGAAATTGAAATTGAACTCGGGGACAATGATAACCGGTATTGTGCCACACCCAGGCTAATCACACTCTCTATCTTTTGTTGCAGGCCCCAAGGAGTTCTCCTACCGCGGCAAAAACATGTTCCTAACCACCCACGTGCCCGCTTTGGCCAACAAGAAGGTCGACTGGCTGGATGGCCGTAACCTGTGCCGCGAATACTGCATGGACCTGGTGGCTTTGGAGACCCAAGAGAAAAACAATCTGATCTTCCGTGTGATTCAGCAGAACGATGTGCCCTATATCTGGACAGCGGGCCGCATTTGTGACTTTGCTGGCTGCGAGAACCGTCCCGATCTGGAGCCCAAGAGCGTCTATGGATGGTTCTGGTCCGCAACTCGCGAGAAGATTCAGGCCACCAACCGCATTCCTCAGGGATGGGGCTACAATCCCTGGTCGCAGACCGGTCACAAGAAGCGTCCACAGCCCGACAATGCCGAGTACGACATCAACCAGACCAAGGAGCAGTGTCTGTCCGTGCTGAACAACGTGTACAATGATGGCATCGCATGGCACGATGTTGCCTGCTACCACGAGAAGCCCGTCATCTGTGAGGACAACGAGGAGCTGCTGCGCTATGTGGCTGCCACAAATCCTGGCATTCGTCTATAAGAAGGTCGTGTTGTTTGCCTAATTTTAAAGCTACTTATTATAATATTCCTTAAACGAGTTTTTGTATAATTTTTGTTTGTATGTGTACGACGAAAACGGAAGAAAGCAAGACAAATAGACTTTAGAATTTATAATTTCCGATCTTACCACCTACATGCATACCACATATGTATATGTGCTCCTTCCCTCACCACCCCCTCCCCACCAGCACTCACTCGTATTCCCTTCCCGACAACTATACTATATTTCACCATCTCGTTCCGATACTGCCAATTTTGCACGTTAAACTCCAATTGAGACGAAATATTTATACTGGAACTTTGCTCTGACTTTCATCTATACAACAAATTGAAAATCTCTTTAGTATTCTTGTTTGAGACACTCATATTTCCTCCTGCACCCCACAAAGAGATTGAATAAAATTTTGTAAAGATCCCATAAAACAAATTTAAATGAATACTTTAGTTTTTATTTTCGAAGTCTTTTATGGGCCTGAGGGGATCTGGAGCGACTGTGCTCACTGCGGCAACTCCATTCTTGGTGGGACTTTCCGCCATATGCTCTGGGACTGGGACTAGGACTACTATCACGACTAGATCTGGAGGAGTGGCAGTCATTATATGATTTGTAGGAGCTGCGATCTCCTCTTGAAGAGTATTCGCGTTTAGATCTGGATGAACTGCAATCTGGCCTACGATCACTGCCATTTCTTGATCGGGAATGATGCTCAGTGTGGCGGGGACTCTTGAGATCGTGATCTCTTCTTGACTTTTGAATGTGATTGCTCAAAGCCTTGGAGTTCTCCAGTTCCAGTTCCGGACTCTCCGACCAGCGCCAGTTCCTGCCGCGATCATCGTCACCATCATTCCAGCTGCTCCAGTGGAATGTAGAATCAGTAATTATGAAATGGCGTACTGTAGATATCCTTACCTTGGAGTCTTGGGCAGGGGAGACTTTCCCGAATTGCGAGCACTTCTTGGTGTGGTCGTGTACTCCAAATCCTTGTTGAACAAATTGTTTGGATTGCGAAACAAATGCAGATAGCCGCAGCTATTACCTTTGGGACATTTGCGTGTTAAGGACAAACCTTTAAGAATCAATAGATTTGCATAAAAATGGTATAATAAATAAGATAAGCGTGATTGGTAATGGTTTGGTTTGTTTTGTTTTGTCAAAGGATACGGCTCTTGGCATGCAGGTCACGTACCGCAGACTGCGCCACGCCAGTGGTAAAGATTGGAGAACTCCACGTTGAGGCGCCTGGAGGCATAGTAGCGACCTTGCAGATTGATAAAGGCACGCAAGGCACATCTGGAAAAGGAACGAGAAATGAATTAAGCAACACTTTTATGGATGAAAGGGCAAGACAAACTTTTCATTCGCGTATTCAACAAAGACATGACCACTGAGATGTTCCAGCGTATTCCTCACAGCACGAAAATTGACAATTTTGCCGAACTTCTCCAGCTCTGTGACCGCGTCGCTGAAGAACTCATCGTAGTCGCTGCGCAGATCGTGCTCCGTCTGCTCCAAGCCTTCATCGCCGCTGGCGTACTCTTTGTGCACTTTCTTGTTCTGCAGCAGCGAATGGTTGAAGAAGTGGCGGATCAAGAGGATCCTTCCCAACATGGGACGTCTGTGGTTGAAGGTGCAGCTTTGGCCGTAACGGCAAGAGTTTGTGCGAGTGAAGAATTCGCAGGGTCGCTCTTCGGGGTGCGTATCTACCATACGCAACAGATGGTCCGGTGGCTTTGCCTGCTTGGCGTTGTGCAAGTATTCGTCCATACTTTTCATCATTGATTCGAATTCGCTGGCAGCCTTTTCGGCAAACTTCTGCCGTTCCTGACGCCGCTTTTTCTGCTCCTCTTCTCGTTTAGCCAGCGCCTTTGCCTCTTCATCCCGCAAACGTTCCATTTCCGCCTCCTCCTGCTGCCGTTTGGCCGCATCCAAACGAAATTGGCGTTGGGCGAGGGCTTCACGTCGTAGCCAGGCTTCCTCCTCTTCCTGCTGTTGGCGCTCCGCAGCCAAACGCTGGAAATCCTCAAGCGCCGCCTGCTTTGTAAGCCATTGCTGGTAGGCGCAGTCTTCCAGCTTTCTTGCTTCTGCTTCTTGCTCCTGCCTGTCACGCTCTTTGGCATGCTTCTGGCGTCTCCGTTGCCTTTGTTTCTTCTTAATCAGCTGGCGTCGAGCTCTGGAATGCATTGCAAATGCGTTTTTTAATGCGTATTAATGCATATTAATGAATAATTTACCTTTTTCCCGGCATTTTTTGCGAGCGAACAAAACAAAACAATACTTACAGTGTGACCAAGAATACTGAGCGCTTAACCCACTCAAGCCCTGTATAAACACTTAACATGCTGCCAATGTACTAACAGCGTGCTGCCAACGAAATAACATGTTGTCAACCACTTAACATAAGATAAAATGCTGCCAATTTATTATAAACATGTTACCCATAAAATAACATGTTGCCAATTTATTAAAAGCATGTTGTCCATAAATTGCCAAGTTTGAGATTTATAGCAGTATACCAGTTATATGATTATAGTGGCGCCACGGTTGCAAAAACATGTTGTAAATTTATTAAAAACATGTTGCCCATAATATAACATGCTGCCAATTTAATAAAAAATGTAGCCAGCCCTTAACATGCTGCCAACAACTAAACAAGTATTTTTTATTTTCATGGTATATATATTCTTATATATATATATATATATATATATATATTCTTGATCAGCATCAATAGCCGAGTCACACTGCTACAAGTGTATTTTAAAATTTCGCCCCGCCCCCTTCCGCCTCCACAAAGGACGAAAATCAGTGGCAGCCACAATTTTAAAGATACGATAAAACTAAAAATTGTAGAAATTGACCATATCTACCAGATTGCCGAATCTGAATTAGATCGGATCATAATTATAGCCATAATGGAAATTAATTTTCAGTGCTTTCCCCCCTCGCCCTACTCACCCTAAAGATGTAGAATCTAAATGGTACATAAAAATAAGTTTACAAAAATTTCATTTTTTGTATTTTAAAATATTTTGAAATGCTTTTATAAACACTTTATATTAATAAAAAAAAGGTGTAGGTCAAAATTAAAAAATTTGCTTTAAAAAACTTTTGTGGCTATGGACCCTGACTCTGATAGATGGAGTTTGGCTTGGGCGTCAGGAGCTCTGCAACGCCCACAGTCCGGGCCATGAACCGCACAGGGGCCGGCTGCATTACTGCGGCTCCATGCCGCTCCAGGACTTTGAACACCAAGTTCACTATCACCCGAACACACAGCTCCAGATTGGTGCTGTTCAGGCGCTCCAGGGTGGTGAAAGGTTCCGCCGAGAAGGCAAAGCGCCGTTCTACCAAGCGCCGGATGCTATCGACCTCGGTCTGGATCCGTCCGTCCTCCAAGTCCTGCAGCACCGGCGGATAGGCAATGGCTTGCCAGTGCTCGGCATCGAATTTCAGGCAGTAAATCTGATCCAGCACCGTGTCGGTAATTCCATGATTTTTGGCCAAGTTGGCCCGCAGGTGAACGATGTCCCAAAGGATAGGGAAATCATGGGTGGCTCTTATCCTTCCCCTCAAATTGACAGGACAGCCATCGGAAATTATCGCCATCAAGCTGGTCGTCAGTCCAGCTCTCCGGATCGAGTGCATGACGTGCTCCAGGCCCGCGTCTATGACCTTGCGGCCGCAGATATCCCTGTTTACGCAGACCTGCCATTATTATACATATATACTAAATTTAATATATTCATATATATATGGTATATCACATCACTTAACTTACCACTGTCATGTACAAGAAATAAAGGAAATTGCTTCCGTCCAGATTGAAGGCCGCTATCGCCAGCACCTTCCACTTGTGAAAGTTCAGATAGGCGGGCCTAGGCAACCAGGGAATATGGAACACGTCAAAAATGATTGCAAACGGCCCAGCAGATGAGAAATGTGCCAAATTTGAGATCTGTTCGATCGCACCAACATTCAAGAGGTGTGAATAATGTACTTGCGTGATCGACAAGTCGGCCCCGTTAATCACTGCCTCCGATTGTGGTACGTGGCCTTGGAATAAGTTGTAGATCGACATTGCACTATGATGACTATATTTTACTTTGTATTAGCATTGCTGATATTATTTTATTTTTGATACGTACCGCTATTACGATATTTTTGTTGTTGTTAATGTAAAATGTGTTTTTCCAAGCTGCATTTGAAACCCATTAATAATGAATGATAGAAATATCGATACCATCGGTGGTTCCATCGATATTTTCTTGTCGAAACCACATTCACTTTAGTTTTCGGCTTTTTTATATATATCACTAAAGCCTAGTACTCAGACGCGCTAAATTTTCCGGCGACCGAAAATGCTATATATTCCGCTCGGTGCCCAGTGTAACCAAAGTGGTCAATCTGCATGCTCTACGGCTATACTGTTTTGTCTTTGTTTACAAACAGAAATTTGTTTGAACTTGAAATGTTGTTTTAAAGTAAGCCGAAATGTCTTATTTTTGGGCGCTATGGAGCTGGAGGACGATAATGTACACTGCAATATTGGATAAATCCGATCCTGCAGGACAGATATGCAATCAACATGGCTTTTATCTCCTTTTAAATAATTAAAATGAGTACCGGATATAGAATTAATAAAAAATAATATCCATATAATCTGTGTTCATTCTACTGCCTTAATTACATTTTATTTGTCTTCATTATTGCACTTTTGTAGCTGTCTTGCACTTGTTTTAATGTGGGTGTGGGTGCCTTTTGGACGACGAAATGTAGAATATTTCTATGTTCCGCTCGAGATGGGAAAATACCATCGGTTGCTTTTCTAGTATGTATTAAATGGCCTTTTTTCAGAACAGAGTACCGGTCTGCGAAACGCTTGCTTCGAAATTGTTGGTCGACCGAAAAACAGGAATGATTTTATATCGGTTTCATACGAATATCATCCCTGATTTCGGTCGAGGAAAATTTTAGCGCGTCTGAGTACTAGGCTTAAACAAGCGAAAAAATTAGCATTTTCCTTTTCTCTTTTCCCAATTAGGTCACACTGAGCTCAACTAAGCTTCTAAAACTAGTGTCGGGTAAACATCGTTCAATTTACTGAACAAGTTTGTTCGTTCACTTTTATTCAGTGAATTAAGTCGTTCTTTTAGTTCGTTCTTCTTCGTTCGTTCTTTTCTGTTCGTTCTTTTTTGTTCGTTCCTTTTTGTTCATCGTTCTTTTTTGTCTGAGGAGGAGTACCTGAATAGAAAGCAGGACCCTTTGATCTGGTGGGCACAGCGAAAAGATTTATATCCACGATTATACAATCATGCATTAAAACGTCTTTGCTTAAATGACATCAACATACAAAATTTAATCTCTTAGAACGATATCAAGTACCAAGTGCAAATTAAAATAAATTTTCGAACTTAAACCGTCCACAAATTGTAGTACTTTATTTACACATACGCTTAGAAATAGAAATCAGAGCTCAAAAGAGAACGAACAAAAAGGAACGATGAACCAAAACGAACGAACGAAAAAGAACGAACAAAAAAGAACGAACAAAAAAGAACGATTAAGATGAACTTATTCAGTTCGTTCAATTCAGTGAATAGTTCTTTTTTGTTGGCTCGTTCATAACGACCCAACACTATCTGAAAGGACGGTAAATTGTGTGATACAAAGTCTGATATATAAAGTGTGAGATACATACGGGTAAGTAAATATTGTGTACCTATGTTTATAAATTTCACACCGCCTCGCCCCCTTCCGAATATATGTTCGAGTATTTATATTCTTGTTCAGCATCAAAAGCCGAGCCGCTGTCCATCTGTCTGTCTGTCTCGATGAGCGCCTAGATCTCAGAGACTATAAGAGCTAGGGCAACCAAATTTGGTTTCAAGACTCATGTGATATCACACTGCTACAAGTGTATTTCTAAATTTCGCCCTATTCGCCGCCGCAATGGACGAAAATTTATGGCAGGCACAATTTTAAAGATACGATAAAACTACAAAACGCAGTATCTACCAGATTGCCGAATCTGAATCAGATCGGATCATAATTTTAGCCAGAATGAAAATTAATTTTCAGTTGCTTCCCTGGCCTTCTCCTGCATGAGATCCGTTACTCTATCTCATTCTCGCTCGCACACTCTGCCTCGTTCAGATGTGAAATATACATTGTAGATGTAGATAACAGATGTAGCTAAAAAATGTAAAATTTTTTTTAATTCTAAAGTTCTAAAAAATCATGCTCAAAAATGTATATACTGACTCAGTACGGGTACAAGTAGAGTCGCGTCCCCAGAAGCGACTCACACGTTCATTCTCGTTGGTATTTGTTCCAAACAATTGAAACAAAATAATACTAAGTTATATGATTCATAGTGACGCCACGGTTGCAAAGCTTCTGCAAAAGCTCTGTACAGTGAATGAATGTGGAGCTTATAGTTCGAATAGAGGGGGAAATCCACTGCGCAGAATGGCTGTATTTCCCCTCATTTTCGAACTGTTGCAAGAACATTTCATTGCAACAAATGTTGCTCGCCCCAACGAGAGAAGAACGTAATCGCTCGAAAAAAAAAATCACATTCAAAGTGAAATTTGTGTCGTCCACTTCGTCTCTCTCACTCTCTCCCCACGTAGAGTGTGTAGCGCTGTCTCTCTTTCTCTCCGGTGGCTCCATCTCGCTCTCTCCGGCTAAGCTCTCCGGCCGAGATTTCGACACTCCGGCGGATCGGTGTGTGTATCGTATCCAAACAACAACAAAAACCGAAGAACCAAGTCCAAAAAATTGAATATTAGATAAATGAAATAATTCATCCCGCCGCGAGCATTACGAGTGCAACTGAAATATTATTAATAACAATCAGTAAAAGTGGAAAACGCGATGCGGCTAATTGGATTTATGCTAAATTTGGCAGCCCTAACAGGTGAGTGTGACTTTTCGGCCCAGTCATAGTTATGGCCTGACTGATGTGGTGGTGTGGGTGGTTCCGGGGCGGTGGGTATTGTAGTATGAGGTCTCTTCCCAGTTACGTCCTCTGTTTTATTCTCGGTCTCATGGACAGACTTTATTATGTTCTTTGCGTTTGCTTTTGAACAGTTACGAGTTTTAGTTTTATTCATATTGTGATGGTTTTTTACCCGGTACTCGCGGAGCAGTTTGGGGTATATTGGAATCGTGTTAAGGAAGAGTTTTTGGATCCAATTTATATTTAAAATATATTCAATCAATGTGTGAGAGGGATGAGATCACATAAAAAAATTTTATTTTTTGTGTTTATATTTAGTTTTGTGATAGCGAACTCTGAGCAACAGAGCAATACAATCCAAA